GGTTACAGGAACCACATGTAGAAGCAGATGTTAAATTGGCTTGAAATGCCAGCTTCAAAATGCTGTCTGTTTTTTTGAATGCAGGCCTATACCACTAACAGTGTGTTCCTGAGTGAAGTATTCTTCACCCCCACCAAGGTTTCCTTCTGTGGAGGAAGGAGAGAACACGTGGTGCATTTGAGTTAAAACTAATCACTCAACAAGGCTAAACTGCAGACAGAAGTATTGGGGCAGGCGAGACATGACATGCAGTGTAAAAAAAACAAACAAACAAAAAAAACCACCAGACCCTCCTGTATGTGATGTATATTTGGCATATATGGCCATTAATATGAGTTGATCAGTTGGGGAGCAGTTCCTGGCTCTGGTGAAGACAGAAACTTGCGTCGTGTCAAAGAACTCTGGAACACTGAAGCAGAAGTCTTGAATGCAGAACTAGTGTTGCATGAAATCTAAGTAGATAATGTACTTGACGGAATAGGATTGCTTCTCTGAGTAACTGTTCTGGATGGTTTTGATTTAAAATAATTTTCTTTTTCTAGGTGTGGTGAAACTGGCCACGTAGCCATCAACTGCAGCAAGACCAGTGAAGTCAACTGCTATCGCTGCGGCGAGTCAGGGCACCTTGCACGGGAATGCACAATTGAAGCTACAGCCTAATTATTTTCCTTTTGTCGCCCCTCCTTTTTCTGATTGATGGTTGTATTATTTTTCTCTGAATCCTCTTCACTGGCCAAAGGTTGGCAGACAGAGGCTACTCCCAGGCCAGTGAGCTTTACTTGCCGTGTAAAAGGAGGAAAGGGGTGGAAAAATCAACTTTCTGCATTTAACTACAAAAATGTTTATGTTTAGTTTGGTAGAGGTGTTATGTATAATGCTTTGTTAAAGAACCCCCTTTCCGTGCCACTGGTGAATAGGGATTGATGAGTGGGAAGAGTTGAGTCAGACCAGCAAACCCTCTCTGGGTTACATGGAAGTGATCCTATGCAGGAGGAAAGAAATTCTGGAAGTGTCTAAACTTCCTCATAACTTTAATTTTATTGCAATGGCCTTGGATTGTCTGACCTCAGTAGCTGTTAACACCAAGTAATATCTGTATCAGGCCCTACCTAGAGCATATAGCTGAGTGGGAGTAAACAAACAAGATGCACATGCCTGTTAATGGCCATGAGAGAGAGAGAGAGAAATCAGGAATAAACTTTAAAGTAACAGTAATTCAGTCAATGGATGTTCACGTTGGAGATACAGAACGTAATGGGAAGCTTTTGAATAAATAACTTCAAAGTAAATCTGAAACCCCGACATCAGTGCTCATAGCATATACAATTTGGAGCTATTCAGGAGTTGCAAATAAATGCATTTTCACAGAAATCAAGATGTTATTTTTGTATACTATATCACTTAAATGACTGAGTTTCATTTGCTTGTAATCAGTTTTTAAAGTAAGATGGTAAAAGCAATTGAAGTCCTAGAACATAGAAAATGTAATTTTAAACTATCAATAAAGCTGGAGGAGGAAGGGGAGTTTGGCTAAAGTTCCTTTTGTTTATTTTTGGTTTTCATGTACACAGTGCAAAATAACATATTAAAAAGGGGTATGTGGAGGTGTAAAAAGTTTAGTTTGGACTTTTCTTTGTACTGTCTTCTGTTAAGTTTCCATCCGGTAGCATCAAACTAAATGTGAATCATGCAGTCCTCCTTCCGCACTGCTGCCTATCTGCCTATGTCTATGTGGATAGATTTGCGCAGTCTCAGTGTGGGCTTGTTCTATATGTGCTGATGGAGTGAAAGCCTTTCTTTAAAAGTCGTTGAAGAAGGCACAGAAGTTGTTGAAGGTACAGTGGCCTGTTAGCAGTATTTCAGCCTTCGCAGCTGTCATTATGCAAAGAACACCCTCCAGTGTTACAGGCGCTTCCCATTCCTGCATGATGTTCCACCATGTTACTTGACTAAGGGTTAGTGAACAGTTAGAAAGTTGCACAGATAAAAAGGGAGCTGCTGCAGTATGTATCTCGAGCACATCCGCTTGCTAAGAGAATAAAGTCTACCTGATGTGTCTGAAAATCAAGGGCTGGAGCTTGTGTCTGATGTGCCATCTACAGTGAAGCACTTGTCTGGTGTGCAGGGCAACCCTGAGCAGCCTCAGCGGGAGAGCCTGTGAGCTGCTGCCTAGCTGTGTTGCAGTCAGAGGTAGCGTACCGTAGGCAGCTGTGTTTGCATCTTCACATGCAAATAAGAGCCTTCCCTTTCAAGTCCCAAAGTGTTTTTCATAGGCTGTGTATGCCATAGCAGTGAAAAAAAACACCTGTGATCTTGGGATGATTGTGTCGGATCTCTCTCTAGAGAGACAAGTACCAGACCGACCATCTACAGCCATGCTGGAGTAAAACTAAATGGGCACTGTTACTTGTCTTCTGGATTGGTGTTACAATTAACCAGTTCAGTACGATGTTGATGTTTTCAGTTCTTTAGGAAGCAAGGCTGTTAAATGTGACCCAGTCATGCAGGTTGTGCTCTTTAAGAAGCAACTTAAGCCTGAGGCTTTTGTCAGGTGATAGCATGTAGATGCAGCTTGGAGAAGAGCAGTAAGAATTCCTCAGCTGGTGATGGAGGATCCCCACGAGGAGGTGTTACCTGGTGGTGTTTGAAAATGTAAAAGCAGGCATGTTAGCTGATAATCTTTGAGTTGTTGCAGGAAATCTGCTGTCTAATATGTGTCTCCAAGAACACTGTGATAGTCGTAGCTGCTGTGTCACGTCAGGTGAACTCTGATCAGATTGTTGCTGTTTTGCAGTGGGCTGCCATAGCAATTTGGAGTTCCTTAACACTTAATGAAATAAAGATTTATAAAGAACTAAAGCTTTCAGCCTGGGTTTGATGTTCAAAGCCATAGTTAAGGGAGAAGATGGTTCTTGGTGAGGCTACTGAGTATGAGGTGGCTAGAGCCCGGACCACTTAGCTGGCAGCAGCCAACCTGAGTAGGCTTTTGATGGCTGTGCTGGTACTTCTGCAGAGACAGAAGGAAACAGGCTGCGGGAAGAAAGGTCTTTATTTGAAGCACTTGAAGAGGGAATCTTCTTGTACTGCTTTGCCTAAGCAGAATGAGAAACCCCAAGTGTTTGCTTTTGCCTGTAGAAGGCAGGTTCTACAGAGTGTAACACCAAAATGAGGTGGCGACTGCTACTGCAGCTGGTCGTGATTCTGTGGCCAGATGCCTCTGTCCAGCCCATCTGCTGGAGAGCAAAGCCTTTTGGCTCCTGTGGAGCTCAGGGGTGGGGAAGAGGCTCTTGCCTGAGTTGCGTGGGGGTTTTGAGTGATGCCTCTCTGTGTGGGTGGTGGGGTTTTTTTCCCTTTTTTTAAATGGCTGCTGTTGGAGGATGAAGGTACTCTTGAACATGGTTGCCAAAACCCTTGTAAAATCCATGAGTGAGTTGAGTGGGTTCTCAGGGTAGTGCGGACAGCCTCATCGTAGCATGTTCTTGCTCGGCCTCGTGGCAGGTTGGCATGGATTAACTGAATCTTTACATACAATGATCTTAGTTAAATGGTAATAGAGCTTGAAGCTCTGTGATTACAAAGACCTGAAAGTCTCTGGGGCTTAACCTGGAGCTAAAAAAAAATGCTGTGTCAGAAACCTGCAGTGCTGGTGATGTCTGCATGACTTTGCCATTCCTGTAGAACTTGGTGATAGAACTTGGTGATAAAACTTGGTTATGAAGATACTGGAGCTCCTGCTGCTTAGTACTCTGGTGCTTAACCGCTTTACTATCGCTGAATAGTTCTTGTGTGTCTGAAAAGTGGTATTGTTCTCTGATAATGGTTTGGGGTTTGTTTTTTTTTTTAACAAAACAGGATTTGAAAGCTGAGTAATGCAAACCAGGATGTAACTTCAAAAAGGGAAAAAATTATTCCCACTGAGGTACCCCTTCGTAGCCATCTGTCTGTAGAGATCACTTTAGAGTATCGATGCTGCTACTTCCAGGCATCAGTTGTTCCAGAGTTAATGAGAGGAATGAGCAATTACTGATGGCAGAAATTGTGGGGACTTGAAAAAATCAAACCTAGTATTTCATTTGTTCCATGTTAATCCTTTCCACTAACATGGAAGCATCTCCTCACTTGTTTTGAAGACCAGTCCCCTGACAAGCTGCAGTGTAGTGGTGGTCATGGATCTGGTGGATTATCTGGATCAGGAAAGCAAGGAGATAAATGGGTAATCAATTGTTTTCTACAAGCAGGGTGGTCTGAAGGGCTAGCATTTCCTGGAAAGGGAAATTTTATTTTATTAAACTCATCAGGAGTCACTGAAAAACAGTCTTCACAGTGTGGTTTTTAGACCGGCTGCAGAGGATTGATATAATGGCTCCACTGTCGCGGGGGGGGGTGGCTGGG